ACGCCTTACTATACATGGTCGTTTTTTCGGCTCAAAACGCCTTACTATACATGGTCATTTTTTTCGTCTACAAAAGCCTTACTATAGATTGTCTTTTTTTTTCGGTAAAAAACGCCATACTTTACATGGTCGTTTTTTTCGTCTAAAAAAGCCTTCCTATACATGGTCATTTTTTTGGTTAAAAACGCCTTAGTACACATGGTCGTTTTTTTGGGGCTAAAAACGCCTTACTATACATGGTCGTTTTTTGGCGTGAAAAACGCCCTCCTATATATATGGTCATTTTTTTTCGGCTAAAAACGCCTTACTATACATGGTCATGTATTTCTGATAAAAATGCCTCACTATACATGGTCGTTTTTTTGGTTAAAAACGGCTTACTATATATGGTCGGGGTTTTTTTCGGTTCAAAACGCCTTACTATACATTGATGTTTTTTTACGGCAAAAACCGCCTGACAACACATGGTTGTTTTTTTCGGCTAAAAACACCTTCCTATACATGGTCGTTTTTTAAGCTAAAAACACCTTATCGTACATGGTCGGTTTTTTGGGGGGCTAAAAAAGCCTTAGTATCCATGGTTGTTTTTTTTTCAGCTAAAAACGCGTTCCTGTACATGGTCGTTTTTTTGGGGGGCTAAAAACGCCTTACTATACATGGTCGTTTTTTTCGGCTAGAAAACACCTTACTATTTAAGCATGGTCGTTTTTTTGGGCTAAAAACGCCTTACTGTACATGGTCATTGCTTGGGGCTAAAAGCGCCTTCCTACTCATGGTTCTTTTTTGGGGCAAAAAACGCCTTACTATACATGGTCATTTTTTTCGTCTAAAAACGCCTTACTATACATGGTCGTTTCTTTTGTCTCAAAACGCTTTCCTATACATAGTTGTTTTTTTGGGGTTAAAACGCCTTATTTTACATGGTTGTTTTTTTCGGGTAAAAATGCCTTACCATACATGGTCGTTTTTTCAGCTAAAAACGCCTTACTATACATAGTCGTTTTTTTCGTCTAAAAACGTCTTCCTCGACATGGTCGTTTTTTTCGTCTAAAAACGCATTCCTATACATGGTCGTTTTTTTGGGGTTAAAACGCCTTGTTTTACATGGTTGTTTTTTTCGGGTAAAAACACCTTACCATACATGGTCATTTTTTCAGCTAAAAACGCCTTACTGTACATGGACATTTTTTTGGTTAAAAACGCCTTACTACACATGGTCGTTTTTTGGGGCTAAAAACGCCTTACTATACATGGTCTTTTTTTCGCGTTAAAAACGCCCTCCTATATATATGGTCGTTTTTTTCTGCTAAAAACACCTTACCATACAGGGTATTTTTTTTTCAGCTAAAACGTTTTCATGTACTTGGTCTTTTTTTTCGGCAAAAAACGCCTTCCTATACATGGTGGTTTTTTTGGTTAAAAACGCCTTACTATATATGGTCGGGGGTTTTTTCGGTTCAAAACATCTTACTATACATGGTCGTTTTTTTCGGCTAAAAACGCCTTCGTGTACATTGTCATTTTGGGGGGCTAAAAGCGCCTTACTACACATGGTTCTATTTTGGGGCGAAAAACGCATTCAGGCCTTTTTTGGGGCTAAAATCGAATATCAGTGGTTCTTAACCTGATGTACTTTGTCGACCTTCGATACTTCACAAACATACAAATTTTAACTACGAAAAGAGGACCCATCAACGAACTTCAACACAACAGCTTGGATTCCTGTTAATTGTCGTTACGCAAGTTTATTGAGAAAATGGATGGACTGATGATGAGCGCAACGCAAGCATTTCAAACTATACACAAAATCTGTGAGCTTTAGTGGCCTGGCCTCTGTCCCAGAATTTTCTTTGCTCTGCTTTGTCCCACCTTGAGAGCATGCTAGCTGCTTTACGGTTGGAAGAATGCCCTTAGGTATCGGGTGACCCATCGGCCAAGGGGTTTTGCTCTTCGCCGAGCTCGTATTGAGAGGAGTGCTCCAGTGCTCCAGGCTCCAGGCTCGTATCCCGTGTCACAAAAACACCTTTCTGCGCAGAGAATGAGGCCACAGCACAGTGGTTCTGCTTGGGTCCGATCCACTCTTTACCCTCGTTGGATTTCAGACCTCCCCCCTTGTTCTTCCAGCAGACAGCCTTATTGGTGGGCTTGTTCTCTTCTTGCTGGGATCAGATGGACTAAGAGCACCCAGGGATGCCTCCAAGTCACCGTTCAGAAAATAAATGACCATACCACGTATGCATAACTTGGTGAGTCTTTATTATATTACATCTATTCATTAAACTTTGGTTTATTGGGTAGTTATCCCTCCTGCTAATAGTTTTGGGTGCTGGTATTTAAAAAAAAAAAAAAAAAGCATTGGTGGTGCTGCACTGTGAGAGATGAAGAGTCAGGATCGAAATGCACTCAGAGTGTCTTGAATGCTCTATGCCGTTCTAATGACGATCCGTTCTCAGATCTCGCTCCAACATGAGTCTCATCTCCAGTCAGTGGACTCTTCTAGCCATTGTCATAGTGACACTCACGGCGATGTCCTGCGTTGAGGCCAAGTCCACACCCAAGCCCAAGTACCAGTACACCAAGAAACCCCTCTCTCAGGTCACAATACACAACCCCGCCGGGGCCCCCGGTACACCGAAGCCCAAGATGGGCTACATCCCTGCCGAGCCTAAGCCACTGCCCGCCTACCCCGGCCACGCTTTCCCTCAGGACCACACAGTGAGCACGGAGCCACCCAGTGTAGGCCCTGACAATTACACCTTGGATTACAATGAGTGCTACTTCAACTTCTGTGAGTGCTGCCCACCTGAGAGCGGACCCCAAGGGCCAAAGGGAGACAATGGCCTGACAGGTAATGAGAAGCAAAAACTCTTACCGAGTTACTTTGGGTTTTTGTTTTTTTTTCAGTTTCTTCTGCATTTTAAACTTGTCATATCTAGGGCCACCGGGGACAAGAGGCTTTCCCGGTTCAGCTGGCTCCCCTGGACCACCAGGAATGAGTGGTCTGAAGGGGATGAAAGGAGACAAAGGTATTGCATTCCAATTTTGAAAAAAAACTTGCATGCAACCAGCATGTGCGTCTGCATGCTGTAGATTAAAAGAATTGTGTAGATTCTTTTTCCATGTCATCTAACAGCTTACTTTTTGCTAGCTATAACTCATGGGACTTCATAATAACCGCTCCATAGACTAATAACAACTTCAAATGACAAAATTAGGTCAATTGTGCAAGTGAATGTTAAACAGGCTGGAAACGTGGATAGTCATGAATGTTACAATCCTAAAATGGTTCAGGTCTTTCGTGGAGGAATAGAGTTACTATTGGAAGTTTTGAATCAGATAACATGGTCATGACATCTGGGGGTCCCTCAGGGATCATTTCTTGGACCCCTTTTGTTCAGCATGTATATGCTACATTTAGATCAGATGCTTCAGAAATATAATGTTGACCATCATGACTACAGTTAAATTGAGGTGCTGTGTCAATGTCTTTAACTGGATGCACCAAAATTGTCTTCAATTAAACCGTAACAAAACTGAGGTACCAGTAATTTTTTTAGCCAGTAAAAAAGGATACCTATTACTAATTACTAATTACTATTACACTTAGAGTGACTGTCTTGAAAAAACAAAGACCAGGTCTGAAGCCTTGGTTGGCTGTAAGACTTAAATCTGAAGTGTTTCATGTTTCAAGCAGACCAGCAAAAGCTCATCCAAGCTTTTATTTCCAGTAGACTTGACTAATGCAATGGTCTTCTGACTGGATTCCATCAAAAGACCCGTTACACAGCTGTAGCTCATGCAGAATAATGCAGCTCGGGTTCTGACCCGAACAAAGAGATCAGAGCATATTACTGGAGTTCTTAAATCTGGCACTAACGGAATATATATTAAATCCTTGCACAGTATGTTCTTTTAGAACTTTTAGTAAGCTGTCTTTTATAAATGTGTATGCTTGTAAATGTACATTTAATCATGTAAAGCACATTGAATGACTTTGTGTGTGAGATGCACTACAAAACTGCCCCGGCTTGCCTTGAATCGCTACTCCTTATTATTACTGAAGTGGGCGGAAAAAGGCAACGACCATCTCCTCGTTCTGTACAAACTGCAAAATCACCACCAACTCCAGCAAAAAGTGCATCGGTAATCTTTGCTCATTTGAATGTTTCTTCTGCTTTTCTATATTTCTGTTTACTAGGGAATAAGGGTGAAAGGGGAAACACTGGCCCAAGTGGATATCCAGGAGCTCCGGGGAAACCCGGCCAGAAAGGTCGGGAATTTTGACAGCCCCAAATGCGTTGTGGCATCATGGATAGGACAGTTTTGATTGAATGTCTTTACTCTGCAGGTGATGTTGGCCAAAAAGGAGTGAAAGGTGAGGCGGGCATGCATGGCGTCAAAGGCGACGGCGGTCGAAAAGGCGAACCTGGACAGAATGGAACTGTTGGTGAGAAAGGAGAATCGGGCAAAGAGGGGCCACCTGGACCTTCTGGAATGATTCTTGGTCCTAAAGGAGATAAGGGTGATAAGGGAGAGTGCGGCACATTTGGGGAGAGGGGGCCAAAAGGTGATCGCGGAGACACCGGCTCTCCGGGAATCCCGGGAGCGATGGGAATCCCGGGGATCAACGGCAAGAACGGGGCACCGGGTCCCATCGGCGTACGCGGGGATCACGGACCTCCTGGAGCCCAGGGAGAACCTGGAGTGAGAGGGGCGCAGGGTCCACAAGGTGTTCGAGGGGTGCAGGGACCAAAAGGGGATCGAGGTTACCATGGGATGAGAGGGGAGCGGGGAATGCGTGGTTTCAAAGGGGCGAAGGGTTCAGGCGTTCCTCAGAAACGCTCGGCCTTCAGTGTCGGCATCTCCCCGAGAAGATCCTTCCCACCATCTGGCTTCCCCGTTCGCTTTGACAAAGTGTTCTACAATGAAGAGAACCACTTCAACGTCACCAGCAACAGCTTCGTGTGCGTCCACGCCGGTGTGTACGTCTTCTCCTTCCACATCACCGTACGGAATCAACCCTTACGCGCCACTCTGGTGGTGAACGGCTCGCGGCGGGTGAGGACGCGGGACTCGCTGTACGGCCAAGACATTGACCAGGCGTCCACTCTGGTGGTGCTGCGCTTGGCCCCGGGCGATCAAGTGTGGATGGAGACCCTCAGAGACTGGAACGGGGTGTACGCCAGCAGTGAGGACGACAGCATCTTTTCCGGATTCCTCCTTTACTCGGCTTGATGGGGAACGTGCCTTCTGATCTAACGGGGTGGTGGTGGACTGTGTACTTATGTGTACTCTTCAACTGTACTGTACTTTGTGGGGCGAGTTCATGGACTATTTAGATCATTGTCACTGTTATCTATGTACTAATCTATTTTGTCTTATGGCTATCAATAAACATTCTTTTTTTAAAAATCCAACAATTCAAGCCGGTCATTTATGAGACTGCAAGTTCCCACCAAAGCACAGCTTGGGTACTTTGTGGATGGTACACGTATTGAGACATTCACACCTGCCCTTTTAATGATTGCTTGTACGGTTGTTCACATAGCTGCTGGAGGACCATTATTTACTATTTGGATCAGAATCAGAATCATCTTTATTGGCCAAGTATTTAAAACACACAAGGAATTTGTCTCCGGTAGTATGAGGGACCCTAGTACTGCAATAACAAGCAACTACGATAAACAAAGACATGACATAGAAGTATAGAATAAATCATATTGTGGATATAAAAGTCTGCACATTGCTTTTCATATCCAGGTTTTTGTGATATGAAAAGAAGTGTTCATCACAGACACTTTTAAGTGGTGGCAGGTGTGTGCTGGCTACCGTTATACATGAGTTTGAATGTGATTGGTGAACACACCCACATCCACATTTATGAAAGTGTATGCACACTTGTGCAACCTAACTGTCTTAATTTTTAGTTCTTGTCTCAATAAGATTTTCAAAAGTTGTACTGTATAGGTTATAGGTCACATTAATCGTGGGAAAAGCATTGAAATGATTTATCGCTATGACTTAGATCACAAAAAGATGCTATTTGAACAGATGTGTGCAGACTTTTTATATCCAATGTACATGCAATTCCTATTTTGTCTGATGCCTTACATACATACATATGCACACACACGCACCCACACCCACACCCACACACAGTTAAACTGGATAGGGCTTTGTAACTACATAAATTACCGGTAACACAAATGAAGTGATGCTGTGTAATTCTTCTTCTGGCTTTCACACTTTAGCTAAACACAAATATGAACCTGTTAAAGAAGGATTCATGAATTTCCACTCAAAGCAACAGTTTGTATTCCCAAGAATACAGTGGCCGTGACTTTCCTTTTCTCAACCGTGAGAGTATTAGTCTGTTCAGTTCATCCGAAAATTAAAACTGGTGGTAGCATACGTGTCAAATGAGGACGTGTCATCTCTAATCCGAAGAATCAGAAGCATCTTCAGCCAACCTGTGGCATGTTACCCGTACTACTTTCATGTCTTTGTCACTCTTCGAATGCTTCGGTCTCACTCCACTTGCATAGGCCAAGCTGGGGCACCTTGGCCTTGCAGCTGTACAGACCTGGTCTCTGTTTGACCAGCGTAAAGTTCTTGGAAGTGGCCGTCCCCAACCGCCTGTTATCCCTGTAGAAGTAGTAGTGTATGGGAGGCGCCGGAGTGCGGGCGTTGTACTGGAGATGGCAAGTGAGCTTAATCTGATCGTCCAGCAGCAGGTCGTTTTCTGTGACCACCTCTAGCACGGGCTGTGTCAGAACCTCTGAAAAAAAACAAGCATGACAAGAAAAAAATTGAAAATAAGACCAGAACATTAGTGCGAAATAAATCTGATTCTTTCATTGAAAGACAGAATAATTTGTTGCTTGTGTTTGTTAAAAAAACAACAACAACAACAAAAAACAAAGACATGGGAAGAGGACCTTGAAAAAAACAATTGCATATTAAATCACAATCGCAATAATGAGGGGGGGGCGGGGAATACTTCTGCCCTGTTGTCTTTGTACTTTTCAAATCATGTGGGTAAATGTGGGCTTTGCTCATACATATCTTGAGTTGGATGCTATTAAGTGTAATTCTCCACTCAACTCAACTCAACTGTATTCACCCTTTCAGCAACAGCGGTTATTACAATGGACATCTTATCATGTTACAGAGGGGTTACAGCAGGGACGTCAAACATACGGCCCGCGGGCCGGAACCGGCCCCCAAGGAGGTTCAATCTGGCCCACAGGATAATTTAAAAGTGAAAAAATGCATTAAAGACACAGAATGAATCTTTTTAATAAAATGCAATTCATGGATTGTCCGCTGACCATTTTGATCAGAGAAGAAAACAGCAGTCTCAATCTGGCACTGAGACAGAACCAACATAGCAGACGGTATCAATGCGCCAATGCTTCTTGATATCAAAACAAAGGAAAGGCATGATATTTTGGTTATTTATAGCAGAGTATGCTATAATGTTAATGGTCCGGCCCACTTGACATCGACCGAGTCCGTATGTGGCCCACAATGTAAAATGAGTTTGACACCCCTGGGTTACAGGGTGCACGAAAGGCTTAACAGAGCACCTTAATACAACCATCGCTGTATACAAAGTGCTGCACACAACAACACACGATAAAACAATAAAATACCAGTAAAAAGCACAAAAACAGTCAAATTAAAATCAGATCCAGACTAAAGTATCACCTGAACTCACCTTTGACATTGACTTGAACATCATTCGAAATCACTGAATGAGTTTTTCTGTCGTCATCCCAAGATGCCCTGCAGGAGTACAGTCCTTGGTCTTCCATTCTCAGGAGGTCCAAGCTCAACTTTGGGTTGAAGCCGCTTTGCCTCTGGACTTCCACGCCATCTTTGTACAAAATCACCTCGTGAGGTCGGGGACGGCCGCGCACGCGGCAGCTCATGTTCAACGTCTCTCCGACGAGGCCTGGCAGCTGCGGGACCTGCAGGATGGCCCAACCTCCTGAGAAGCACAGAGAAAATGGAGCCAACTGACATTACAAAAAAAAAAAAATAATAATAAACGTATTTTGTTCTAGGCAACTTTGGAGCACTTTTTAGAGAGACTTGTTTCATCTGTCTGACAAGAGTTAGCTTACTACAGCCAAAAGATTATAAAACTAGGCCTGCAGAGTATTCTTACCATCCATATTTATTTCCACGGGAGGGCTTTTTTGCGTATATATGTTTCCCACAGCCGTGTCCCTGACTCCTTGGCATCGAAACTCTCCACTGTCGCTAAGAAAGCCTTTCAGAGTCAACATTTCTGCATGGTGCTCCAGCCGCTTGGTTTCTTTGAACCACAAATAATTCCAGGAAGAGTTGCGGCCATCGGGAATGCTGCATCTGAGCCGGACGTGTTCCCCGGAGAAAACCCGAGAATGACCTGACACCAGCTCTGCTCGTGCGCCATAGGAGGTCTCTACACAGGAGGCGGGGGGAGAGAAAAATGTGAAAAATATTCGCTGGCCACTGTTAAGTTCAAAGAAAATTCATAAAGTTTCATACCCAAAGGGACTATGAGTTGTGGCAGCGTGGAAAGAACTGAAACAGAAAATACATTTGATTTGAGTCATATAAATGGATAAATGGTACAACATATCGTAATTTTACACACACACACAATTTATGTGTTATCATTTTATATATATATATATATATATATATATATATATATCTTAGACTTGGTACACACTTACCAAGAAAATATATCGTTGCTGTCATTGTGACCATGTGTCATTTTCTTGAAGGGAACTGGCCTTTATACCAAAAAAGAAAAGGGAAGTGAAAATATTTTTCTTTTTTTTATTTTAACCCAGAACTCAGGAATTCCTCTTTTCTTTCTTTCTCTCGTTTCATTTCACTTTCAATCTACAAGGACTGTAAATAATGGAACCTTAACGGGATTCCCCTTTCTTTACAGGGCACCAGAATGCATTTGGAAAATTGTACTGTCGTACATTACTGGACTTTAGTATCTTAGAAAAATCTGTATTATCATATTTAAAGAACATGTTTTGTGTTTTAGATCATCATTTGAAAAGTTAAAATGAGGTATCAGTCTGAAACCTTTTTTTTTTTTTAGTATCAAAGGTTGCCAGTGTATTGATTTCCGGTACATTTGACTGGCGGGAACGAAATCACATGGTTCAACTTAATTAACCTTTTCAGGGCAAGAATAACTTTACACTTCTCAATCTGGGCTAGTCGCTAGTGGAACCGTGATTTTTTTTCCCCCAGCCACTTAATGACAACATTCAAAACGGTAACATTTACAACTTTTTCACTGACGTGGATGTTTACATCCGTCTGCTGGGGTCTTAACAATTAAAGGCCCACTCATGTTTATAATAAAGTACATTTTCCAACAGATAAGATTGGAAATGTGAAATTTGTGAGAAAAATTACAAAGTTTGCGTGGTGAATTACGAAGAGTCGGTCATGGAGTTTTTCATAGTTGTAAGTAAATCTGCAATCTGTTATTTAGCTCTTATTCCTTGTTTTCTAAATTGATGTGTCACAAAAACAAAAAAACAAAAAAAACATTGGTGGCAAAGTCACTCACCCGCTTGACATTTTCACAAAAAGCTCGTTTTCTTTGCTTTTGGTCAAAAACCATTGTTTTGGGTGAACCCAACTCATGTTCAACAGTTGATTACGAGAGAACCTCAAAAGCTGGAAACATTTTTCTTGAAGGTGAAAGAAGAGCCTCTTTGTGGTACATGTGGTGTATACATCACTCAAATTCATTTTTGAAATAAAACACGCTCCTGTTCTTCAAAATGAAAATTCCAAAGTCACGATATTTCTATTCTATTATTTCTCAACATCTACCAATGATTAGTTTTAGATTTCCCAATATCACACATCAGTGTAGAAATAGTTTGAAACCCTACTCTAACTGCGCTTGCACAACCGCGGCTATTTATGTAAAAGTACAGCATATGCAGAGTCAACAGGGCGGTCTTCTCTCAGGTTTTATTAGTCATCAGCAGTTACCACACACACACACACACACACACAGCGATGCAAATAAAACACATTTTCCCCCAATAAGTTATGTTTAAATAAGGACAGTATTGACTTCTCACCTATATGATACGACAAAAAACTATATGGATGTTTTCAACCTCTCCGTTAACTCACCGGCCACAACATTAAAACCTTCACAGAAATATAATACACCACTGAAAAATACGATTCAGAATAAGGACTAATATGAGTGTTCATCTAAAATGAGCATTAATATTTTTATGAAGGTTACTTTAGGATTCTGGTGTACTTAATGTTGTGGCCAGTGAGTGTTTCAACCCTCGAAAAAAATCCAGCTTCTACGACGCTGTAACTTGCTCCAACTGATAAAGTTTAAAAGCCTGCCCGTACGCCCCAAAAAATCATATATGGCTACAAAATAGTCATAAGAATATGATTAAAATCTAAACATGAAACATGTCTAAATGGATGGTGCCGCGACAAGGCACACCTGAAAATACAGTGTCTGCACTATCCTTCATTATATCATCTTAAAATCATTAAAGTGCTTCCAAATTAGCATCACTTTTCGTTTTGGAGTTCAAGTTGCTAAAACGCATGCCAAGAAGGGTTCCACTAGGTTGCCATTTGCAACACCTGCCACTTCTTCGGAAAATAAAACCACCACAGTCCAAACGCGCTCGTGGAGGATTTCCGAGGATTGCTTGACCCGAATGTAAAAACACCAACATGCGACACACATGCCCGAATATGCACACGTGTGCAAATGATTATCTTGCTCTCCCAATTTGTCTTTTAACAACTAGCACACTGGAACCTCCAAAGCTCAACAGCACGGCAACCATTTAAGGTTGATTTGGGGAGAAAGGTGGGGTACACCATGGAGTGGTCGAACACACAAACTCAGAGCCGAGATTCGAATCCAGAAATGGCAGCGGTACCAAAAGTTTTGACGTCTGGCAGAACACGTGATGTGATGTTTTGGTTTCATATGAGCAATGGCCTCCAGTAGCAAGGTAGATGACTGAGTAGAAACGTTGTTACAAGCTTGTGTCATTTTGGGAGGTTTCTAATTACTACTTTTGGTTCCTTTTCTCAGTCGGTGGGAATCAACTTTTTGTATTAAAAAAAAAAAAAAAGGAAAATTTGAAAAAATGGGACTTTAGATCTTCTGTGACTGGTGTTGAGTCCATCAATTTGACAGGTAGCGCCGAGGGTAGACTTAGCCTGACATGCTAGCTGCCAATACGCTACTTTTGTATTGAGTCTGGGAAATTTTGGTTTCAGAGTCGACTAAGCTAAACCAAAGGTTCGCTAAGTTGACTCTAAAATAAGAACAAGAATGCAATTGAACCTTTTGAGGTTCCATTGTATTGATAACTACAGTGACACCGTACTTCGGATGTCGACTGCCAGAGAGTGCGCCAGGCTGATGCAAAGTGAGACATTTCAGCCAAAAATCCAGTCTAACATGACTCCACATTCGAGAGGAACAATTTTGAGCTTTTATAAAATATGCTAAGAATTTCAGTGATATTTCAGGCTGGACCAAAAATGCAGCATTAATAACCTTTTACAAGTGGACTTCATTTGGCCTTTGTCTAAACCTTTGAATGCATATGTCCAAGTGTGAAATACTTGGACCGGTAGCTAAACAGTGATAGTTTTGGAATTTTTATTATTGTTCGTTTTTATTTCATTTTTCTTATTTACTTTTATTTTGTTTTTAATAATAATCATACATTTCATTTATAAGCGCCTTTCAAGACACTCAAGGACACTTTACAACCAAAACAAGAATAATAAAACCACAGATAAAATTATAAATAAAAGGAGAGATGAATTTAAACTAGTCTGGGATTGTTAGTTTTTACTTTTTTGAAAATGCTTCATTTTAGTTTACTTTATAAGTTTGAGTATTCGATTTAGTTTTCTTTTTAAGTAAACTACAATTTCCAAATAACTGTTCAACCTTGTTCTTCTATCTGAACCTACAATACTGAGAAAAATACATTTAAATTATACCATGAAAGCTCATCATATAAAAAAAAAAATTCACTCAAGACTAAAATGAAGAAATAGTTTTGCTGATTGTCGTTAAATGTAAAATGTCATTTCAGTTAGCTTTTCTTTTTTTAACCAGCCTCATTTTTATTACATTAACAAAAATTTTTTCAATATTAGTTTGTGAGTTTTTGTGAACCGTAATTAGCTTGTTCAATACTTTTTGGCACAAATTGTTATTCTCTTAACATGAGCGAAACAGAGATTCACTTACATTTAAGACTTTCTGTGACTCTTCCAGTCTCTCGGACCCTACTGACACTGACACCCTAAGCTGATTGGACGGGTCTATCTGAGAATATCTTGTGTGAAGCCTTGCAATAGTAAGGTGCTGTTGATCAATTATTAGGCGTCATCTTGGTCTCACAAATTTGAACCGCATGATGAAGATGACGATGTTTAAATTCAAATCAAACGAAGTCCATTCACGAACCAAACCTCTCACGTGTATTTTGCAGTTCATCACAACATTAAAAGTCGGACATGTGCATTCAAAAGTTCAGACCAAAGCTAAATTAAGTTCGGCTGTAAAAGTAATTATTTAATTTGAGGTTCATCCTGAAATTTCACCCAAAAGGCTAAAATTCCTAACTTTGAGAATAGTGTCCATCCTTACCTGCATTCTTAGTAATGTAGCGGCCAGACTTGCCCTGTGATTGATTGGCAGACAGTTAAGGGCGTGGTTCGAGTCATATTCACACCTCCAATGTCGGACATGACACACTTTGTCTCGGTCACAGAGTGAATCATAACAGGTGCGACCCAGTCATAATGGGTTATTCTTAACGCGCACCAGAAGGAGCTTCGGGCCTTCTAATTTGGATGGATACATGAGTATCGAAGTTCCACCAGCATCAACCGGCAAACACTTGCGGCGTCAGCGGCGGTGGCAGGTGCTCGTTCTCAACGTTGTCAGAGTCAATAGCCGAGGAGACCGCTGCCGCGCCTGTCGCCGTGCCTGTTGCCGCGCCTGTCGCCGCGCTGCCGGAGGAGGTCACGACGGGAGGATTACGCGCCTCGAACGTCTCCAGGATGCTCTGCACATTCTGCTCCACTTCGTCCGTCCAGTCGATGAGGTCGCTCTCCAGCTGCCGCGCTCGCTCCATGACGAGCTCCTGCCGCTCGCCGAGGCCCGACAGTAGGTCCAGACGCTCGTGCACCTGGGTGAGCGCGGCGCCGTCCACCGGTGGCCAGTTGGGGGACACCTGGACCCCCGACATGTAACGGTCAAACTCCTCAGAGGTCATGTTGAGCGACTTGCCGTCCAGTTTCTCGATGAATGCCAAGGCGCAGCACTGAACAGAGGAACAGGGTCACGTTCATGAAGGCAGCATTCGCGATTTGTCCTGAACCACCACGTTTGATTCTTTCATTCACTGATTAGTTTCGTGGCAAAGCCATTAAGTCATTCCAGCCTCTCAAAACGTTTTCGCAGGTGTTTGTAATATGAGAAATAACTAGCCTAAAACACGTTACTTCATAAAAAATACAGGAATGACATAATTGAATGGACTATAAAGAATTAAACAGTTTGTGCATTATGATGAATTCAGCTTGCGACTCCTTCTAGTGTGTAAGCCTTGGCCACTAGGGGGCAGTATAATATACACCCAGCATCTGAACCGTTTATCCTCACCGCAATTTTAATGACGATTGTCTCACCAACCCGGTAAGATGCAGTAATTAATATAATTTTTTGCAAAGGCGAAAGAAGACAAGCCTTTTATTTTTAAATTAATAATAATGTTTGATAATGAAGTGGTCGTTTATAGAATTAGCCTGGGGCAATTTGCTTTGAAATTCGACCAACCTGAAGGTCAACATGATGGATTGTATTCAAATTTAAAGGTTCCATTCTGCTACATTTTGTAGTCAATTTTTGTGTGCATGTGAATTAATGAATGGCTTTCCGAACCAGATTCGTGAAGTAGTAGCCATCCTCTCCGGTCATGAGCCTGCTGGGGTTGCAGAAGCGAGTGATGTACTGGATGTTGGACTGAAGCCGCGGGGGGTTGGCCTTGAGCACGATGTAGATGAGCGTGGGCAGGAAGTCGTCCGCCGACGCCGCCTCCTTCTTGCTGATGCGGATGGCGTTGAAGATGTGCTTGCTGCAGCGTGTGATGCACGCCAGCTTGTCCTTGGGTACCCGCTTGGAATCGAGTTCAATCACATCTGGGGGGGAGAAACGGAGTGCGTGGTCATCAGTTTACTGATGGCATTCCGTTCCTGAACTTCTACCGAAGTTAGAAAGCACCCTGGTCTATCACTAATCCAGGCTCACTCGGAAGTAAAGTCAGAATTACAATAAATATTGGCATGAAAAAAAGCGCCTGAAGTATCATACGTATGCTGATAAGTGAGCATTCTTGTGTTATGTAAGCATGTGTTCTTATGCTGCAGTGCAGAGTAGGTTGCCGCGTGCCGACTGTAACCTCGAAATGTCATTGAAATGCGCTACCCCCTGCAGTATTTCTAACATGTCGATGAGACTCACCTGTGATGGCTTTCACCACACTGTCGGAAGCCTCGGGGATCTCCTCATCGACGGGAACGCCCAGCATCTCAGTGGTGACCCAGTGCAAGGCTCTGTGAATAAGAAGTCACAGATACGACAGTGTAAAACAACAGGAAGTTGTTCCAAGTGATTGCGTGCATGATGCGACTCTCGCAATTTTGTACACATTATAGCCGGAAATAATGACAGTTTGAATGACGGCTACGTCTTCCGTGTACAAACCTGATCCTCTTCTGAACAGCCAGGTCTTTCTTCTCATCATCTGACGTTTCAGGACAGAAAACCTCCTTGTACAGACGCGTGGTCATGTACCTCTCCACTTCGTCCATGATGCCCTCGACATACTCGGAGGAGCCTAAGAGCAAAACCATCAACGTGAGAACAGCACATGTAAAAAGATACAACACAAGCATTTTCGTACCTTTAAATTGAGTGTGAAGGCGCTCTGACAGACTCTGGTAGAAGTCCTGGACGCATTCGGACATGTCCTCAACACCCATGTCCTAATAGAAGGGAGACAATATAGCAAATGACTCCATAAAATTACGATAAGCCTGACAAAAACATCTTTACCACATCTGGCACTATTGTACTGGAGCTCACCCGCTTGTAGGCCATGCTCTCAGTGAAAGCGCGACACTGTCTGAAGATTTGCCGGCCATATTTCAGAGGCTTGAGGAAATCAATGAACTCCCTTGTTGCTAGGTCAGTGTCCGCCGAGGACGGCCGGTTCGCTGTGGAGCAGGAGCTCGGGCTGGACTGAGAATCCAAAGGAGCGGTGGCATCTTGGACGGACACACACACACACACACCAAAAAAAAAAAACACTTTTCATGTTTTTATCAAATCTTTGAGCTTCTTGTGAGAAATAGCTAATAGCTGGCTTTTCATTGTTAATTTCCTAGAGGTGACAAATTTAGCATCTCTGCAAGCAGTTAATTATTTAGCGCCTTCTTAGAAGTCCCCTCTGCATTCATTACCAATGGCGGAAAGTTTCAGCCATGATCGAAACAATGGTGAACCGACAAACCGGTGATCGGCCCACACCTGTAGCACAGTTCAATTTTTTGCATCCTTCAATTAACTTCAAGCACGTATTTAAAAGGCAATGTCAGGATCTCTGAAAGGTGCGATAAGAAGTTAAAATGTGTATAAACTATATGGAAAGGTGAAACGCTTTGTACAAGGTCTCTCTGTCGCGCAGACTTTGCGAATGGGAATGTGTGACCCCCACAATAAATGAGGGTTCACTTTATTGTGTCACACATTTGACTTTCGTGGCAATCAGCTTCATCAGTTGAAAGGCCTACCTTTCTTTGGTGGCGTTTTGCTGGAGGGAGTGAAAAACTTGGTGACAGTGTTGACTTTGCTCGACTTTTCCTTTGTCTTGCGTTCCTCAAATTTGTTGAAAGGTGTGACAGCGGCCTGGGACTGGGCCTTCTGATGTCTGCTTGCATAGGCTTCCTCTTCTTCTCTTTGCAGCCTGTGGCGGATAAGAGACATGACTGAAGGACCAGGGGGGTGTTGATGAGCGATCAGCAGAAGAGAAGTACTCAAGAAATAAAACACAGTGTAGAGTGGTTCTCAGATAGTGGCCAAATTCTGCGCTGTTTTTTTGTTGTTGTTGTTGCAAAACCATTTTTTGTGTGTGTTTTATGATCACACAAAACCAAATAAGCAACAACTAAGAAACATCAAGGGCCAGTGGTTAGCGCATCGACCTCACCGTGCAGAGGTACCGGGTTCAATCCCAGCTGATGAAGCACGCTCAGATAAAAGGAGAAAAGTCTTCTAGGACTACCAGAACAGTCCAGGTACAATCAATCAACGCACTGAGAATGGAATGAGCTGAATACATGAGAATATTCACAAGCGTTCCCTGCAAGAAGTCCCTGAACTAAAACGGTCTCAGAACTCCAGCTGCAGATGTTGCAAACAAACCTCTCAGCTAGAGCCCAGTCGTCCTGGATCTGTTTTTGCTTGTCTCGCTGGTTTTCCTCTCGCCAGCACTTGGAACACAGGCCCTGCCAAGCTGTGTTGCCATAAAAACCACATCCTTTGGTACAAAGCAGATCGGACTGGTCCAGATGGATCCGACGACGTTCAGACCGCTGGGCCATCATCCTTCAAAGTAGGCTGCCCGGGCAACACGAGAAGGAGAACACAATGAACATTCAAATATATGAACTGCGTAACTGTGATGAGCGTTACCTCGTTTCTAAATGTAATTTTCGCACCATCTAGCTAATGGTCTATCGCCCACCCTTGGTCGCGTTAAGTTTTGAACTGTCAACACTTCAGATTATACAGCCGGCTACGTACTCAGTCATTCATTGCTGTTGTGGAGAAGTTTACATCCAAACCGTAAAATGTTTTCTTCGCGCCGAGTACGATCACGTATTTTGGCTAGAATGTGTGGCAGGCTAGCTACTGAAGCTATTTACAAAGCCACCCATGAACAACGAGTATCGGTGTCATAAAAAAGATGACGTGTGGTTTCTGATGACGTACAGTATCATTCGCAGGACGGGAAAAGCTGTCACGCAACGTCGATCCTGCTCCTGGCTTTTGTAATTGGGAGTGTTTACATGACTACAACGGAAAGTTGCGTCGCACAGGCAGAATCGGCCATTTTGTTGTTTGGCCGGCGTAGTTCTTCTTCTTTCTTCGGATAGCACATCAAGATGAAGTACCATTGCGTATCGCCACCTAGTTGATTGACGGCGCAACAGTTTTTTGAACGTGCCATGAACCGGTTTTACAGTATATTAAGACTATTTTCAGGGATTAAAAAAAAAAAAAAAAAAACCTGATTAACCCGACCTTTTTGCTGAATATACATGTGGGAGTCCTACCCCAGTTTCTCCACGATGAGCCAGCCTCGTCTTTTTTTTACTTAGTTAAACTTTATTTATCCAGTTAAGGCAATGGTTATCTTTTGAAATGTCAATGTGGCTGCCGACAGCAGAGTACAACAAGGCAAAAATAAAAGAAAATTCAAATTACAACAACACAACAAACTGTTCAATTTGATGTGCACAGACCGATACATAAACCATTTACACGAAACACAAAATAATATGAATACAATCTAATAATCAATCAAAAATCCATCCATCTATTATCCGATCTGCATATTCTCACAAGGGTTGCAGGCGTGCTGGACCCTATCCCAGACGTCTTCGGGCAGGAAGTCAGGGTACATCTGAACTGGTTCCCAGCCAATCCCACATACAAACAGGTACCAGGCACTCACCAGTGAGCCCCTCTTCCAGGCCTAAACAACATGAATCAAAATGCCGTGTTTAGACTACTGGGCCTGCATAGAACATATTAATGTCAAGACAGTTTTTGGGATGATTTTCTTTTTAAAATGCCCCCAATAGGAAAAATATTTCCCAGCCTTGGGGATACTTGCAGACTACGGTTGACACACATCTCTGTTTACTGTAAATCACATCATGACAGTGGCATGTTATGTGATATTAAATGGAGTGGTTGTTTTTTTCCATACAGTTATATAGTCGCTGAAAATGATGAACTATTGCCCCTCCTATCTTCAGTGAACCACGTCACCTTCCGGCACTGCCAACAACTTCACCTTGGCATATATCATGTCTTGTCATGATGTCGCTTTTGTCACTCAGTGTCTCTCTTGTGAGCTCTGTAAAAGGAACCAAAAGATACATCATTTCACAATTTGCCCCATATTGTGTCAATCTGGAAAGTGAAATACCTGTAACAGAACAACGTGTGATTTAGTATGTTGCTGAAATAGAACAGATGTTACTGTAGGATAAGGTAGTAACACTTTGTTAGATTTTTCTGCTCTCTGTTTTTTGGTCTGACTTCCTTGTCTCCACCCGAGACCAATAAAAAACACCCACACACACACACACACACACACACAAACACACACACTCATTGAGCAGGATCTGAAATGGAGGAGGGGACTTCAACTTGAACATATGAGGAAGGCAGATCCGTTCAGGCTCAAACAGTACAGTAGGTGCAGCTATTGTCATACAAAGAAGGCTTTGCTTACTTATCCACACCAAAAGAAATGATTTTTCTCAAAGAGCGATGGCAGGTAAGACATCTGTGGGACCTTTTGACATAAGAAAAGTTGAACGAGAGTGGTATGCATGCTTCAGGAGGAATGTGCACTTGAGGACAGGAAATAACAGACGACTTTGACGGCAAACCGTGCTCTTCATTCTTCCGTTGTTATCATGAGCCACTCGGGAAAACTACGCTCACAATGCATTGTGATGTATGATATTGTGATGTACTGTATTGTGATTGTAGGTTTCCCGCAAGGCTCACAATGAAAACGAAAGAATGAAGTCTCTTGATCATTTTTTTTAACGCTTTCTGAACTGGTGTACAGTGACAGTCTGTTTGTATATTATGCCCCACAAGACTAATGATTCGCCACCAAGATATATTGCATCAGAATCCTCGACAGTCAGTGACTCCCTAAACTTTACCAGGCCTTCATTGCACTCCCACTTGCTGCTGGTTGTAGGTCTTCAATTTTGTCTTTCAGGAGAAAAACTCATGCTCTTTCAGGTTGTGATCAAGTGGCAGACTTGACATTGAAGAATAATCTGTTTATTTGCTTTCTAAAAGTTGCTTTTAGAGGGTGTTTTGTGTCATTATCAATGTATACCTTCAGTTGACTAGTATTAGCGGAATGTGAGAAGAGTATGCCCCATATATACCTCACGATTAATCTTTTTTACTGCAGTCACACCATTTGTAAACATACACATTACACACTACATACCTCTAGTAAAATTTGGATCATTTGGAATTTTTCCCTTTCCTTCTCTGTAATTTCCTTTTCCTTTGTCATGTTTTTTTTTTTTTTTTACATTTATTTCTGACTTCCACATCTCAATCAACTGGCCACATTCTGGTAATAAGGTAGTGCATACTGTCGCAGTACCTTATTACATACCTTCAAAAAAATGAAAAAGACGGCTTTCATTCACGCAGCGGCTGCAGTGAAAAGATGGTTATATTTACATCTAAGCCACCTGTTTCAAAGTCAAGGCCCGGGGGCCAGATCTGGCCCCCCACATCATTTTATGTGGCCCGCGGGAGCAAATCATGTGTGTCAACTATCATGATTCTTGCTGGAATCTGCACCGAAATGTCAAAGTGTTATGGGTAATAAATAATGAGATTATCCACCGGCCCTCCGAAGGGAGCGGTAACTCCGAAGTGGCTCCCCGCCAAAAAAAGAGTTTGACACCCCTGATCTACGCCATCTTATCCGAGCCCGAAGTTGCATCCACAGAGCCCAATTAATGCCTTCATGGCATTAATTAGTAAAGCAAGCCACTTGTGAGAATACAGAACATTTCACACTCTCAGAATATATTATATGCGGCATTATTAAGTAATAAATAAGATTGGAGTTGGGGGGGGGTGATGTTCTAACATGTTTTCCCTATGTTGGCGAAGGTGTGGGTACTCCAGCTTCCAGGGTGTACGTCCCTTTCACCCGCAACCCTAAAGAAAAGAAGAGAAGTGGAGTTGTAAATGGATGGATGGATGTCCATGTGTTTCTTGGCCTAACGGTACCTGCATTTTCTTTTCTTTTTTTTCTTTTCTTCCAGAACAACTGAAAAAGAAAACATCAGATTTTGCTGACAATGTATCTGAAGAAGTCCTCAATCAACTTCTGTACCATCTTCTCGAGGATGGCATCTTAAATGATGGCGAGGTACAGCACATAATTCAGGCGAACCAGACCAGAGCAAACAAGGCACGTGACCTCATCCGTACAGTGAGGATGAAAGGTGACGAATCCAGCTGGAGGATGATCAATTGGATTAAAAGCAGAGACCCTAAACTTGCAGAGCGTCTGGGTCTGAACTTGATTGAACCGATGGACATGAGATAAGGAGTGAGTTTTTTCATTCTTTTGAATCGTGCATGATACTCAGAAATACTCGAGGTGTACACCATAACCTGTTGCAGTTATACTTTCTGAATGCTTCTTTTCTGATTTCAGACAAAATCCTGGCATCAATTGTAATCTCCAAGTCACTCGATTGTTCTACTTCTATCTGGTGCTAAACAATCCCAGCAATGTCCACATAAAGTTTCATTCACACCTTGAGAATAATAACCATTGGAAATCTGTGTGGCTGTCATTTATTGTTATTTCAGAGTGACACTGATAATCCACTGTGAGCACTCAACCATCCCACCCCTGTCAGGTGCTAGGCTATCCCAGGTTGTCGAACAGGAGGTTTCCAGATATGAAGTCACAATAAAATTCATTGTGTTTAAAATCTCAGATTCAAAACAATTCTATGTTATCATTCAACTACTCCACCTCTGTGAGGTAGCCAGGAAGTTTCATAGAAACCTGATGTCATTATTAAAAACCTTTTGGACCGCGATTTAACAACTTTCACAGAGTGCTGATTCAGATGCGGGTATTCATCCATGCATCCATTTTCGAATCTCCTTATCCTCACAAAGGTCCGAGCCTATCCCAGCTGTTCCTGGACAGTAGGCGGGGTACTCCCTGAACTGGTTGCCACCCAGGGCACACATTGACAAATAATCATCCACGCTCACACTCACACCTCGGGACAATTTAGAGTGTTCAATCAGCCTGCCATGCATGTTTTTGGAATGTGGGAGGAAAAACCGAAGTACTCGGAGAAAACCTGCGCAGGCCCGGGGAGAACACAGGAAGGAACTCCACATGGAAAGGCCGGAGTCGGAATCGAACCCTGCAACTTCGCACTGTGAGGCCGACGTGCTGACGAGTCGATCACCGTGCCGCCCTAAAAAGATACTGTATGACTTTGTTTTGATAAAAACATGTCAATTTCGATCGAGAAAATATAATTCCCAACACCCCCGTTTGTTCCTGACTAAAATGTGGATGTACTCTGAGGGTCCCTGATGCAACAGTTTCCTCGATAAAATACAATAAACGTGTGTGTGTGTGTGTGCGTGCGCGTATGCGTGTGTGTGTGTGTGCGTGCGCGTATGCGTGTGTGTGTGTGTGCGTGCGCGTATGCGTGTGTGTGTGTGTGCGTGCGCGTATGCGTGTGTGTGTGTGTGTGAGCGCGCGCGCGCGTATTGCGAGGTAAGGGGGTGAGTGTGCGCTCGCGTGTGTGCGTGCGCGTGAGTGTGTGCGCGTGTGTGCGTGCATTGAGAGGGGAGGGGGTGGGAGGCGCGCGTGTGTTCGGTCAAACCCGTTACATTTCGTGCAACCCGCCCACGTCCCCCCCTCCTCTCTCACCTCCACATACTTCGGAAGGAAAAGACGTTCGTTGAGCACGGCAGAGAAAAACTTTCTCATTTCCTAACTCTCACCTAAACTTTATTTCAAGCATTACTTCGGCAATAGAGACACTTAAAAAATGGCTGGTGAGTTTTTTCCCCCTTGAACTTTTCGTCTCTTCTTTAAATAAGAAATTTGATTGTTTTACTTTCACTTCTGGAAAGCTTCCGCGTGAGCGCCATTTAGAGGGAAACGCCCGTAATAATACGCACAACGAGAAAATAGAGTCATGGATTCTTTAAATTGACTTAATTCTCTGCCACATTTGATTCAAAATTAGAGCAGGGCGCGCGTTTGAACGCGTTTCACTGGTTGGCTTGGGATTGCGGGATGGAGGTGGCTCACGGCCGATTTGTCCGCTCCTCTATTTGTCGACAGAGGCAAATAATACACCTTTAATTTAATGCGATTACACTGGAGCTGGTTATTACTATGATTGCGAATAGAAATGAATATGACCAATTAAGATTACTTCAAATAAAAATGGATGAACAATATTCAAGAGAGTGACCTAAATTGTGTTCATGAGGACGGAAAATACATTTTGTTCTCACTCCAGTATATGTTGTAACTGAGATTTTTTTTTTCATGACTTGACATGCTTTACATTTACTTGAGACCTGATGTTGGCTGTTCACCACACTAACTTGGGACTTGAACCCGAAAACTTGGAACATGCACATTGCGACTGAATGTACTGTACCTCTCTTCAAGTTGCCTCCCTATTTACCTTTGTGTACTGGAGTTTGCATGTTCTCCCTGGTGCCTGTGTGGGTTTTCTCCGGGTACTCTGGTTTCCTCTCACATTCCAAAAACATGCATGGCAGGCTAATGGAACACTCTAAATTGTCCCGTGGTGTGAATGTGAGTGTGAGCATGGATGGTTATTCGTCTGTGTGTGCCCTGCGATGGGCTGGCAATCGGTTCAGGGTGTCCCCCGCCTACTCCCCCAAAGCACACACATACACACAACCAATCCGTCCATCCATTCTCTACTGTTTATCCGGGTCAGGGGGGAAACAGCTTTCACAGGGAGGGCCAGACTCCCCTCTCCGCAGCCACTTGTTCCAGCTCAACCTGGGGGATCCCAAGGCAATCCCGGGCCAGCCAGTGAGACATAGTCTCTCCAGATTATTAAATTGCCACTTTTATATTTCTGTCCCTTTGTGGCTTTGGAGGGGTCGCAACTGTTACAGCTCATGTGTGGAGGAACAAAAAACATTTACAGCTGTGTCTACATTGGCCTAATTCCTTCATATGTGTTGTGCCTTTTCTTACAGAGGAACTGAAGGCTGTGAAAATTGAGTTTATAGAAAATGTGTCCTTACCTGTAATCGAACAACTTCTGGACCATCTTTTACATGACGACGTCTTGAATAGCGGAGAGGGGCAGGCCATCATTGAGGCGCATGACACCAGAGCAAGGAGGGCTCGTATCCTCATTGACTCCGTGTCGAGAAAAGGTGATGAGGCGAGCTGGAAGATGATCACTTACCTTCAACAAAGGGACCCAATGCTCTTCAAGGAATTGGGCCTCCCCACTGAGTCCCCACAAGGTGAGCTGAGGAGGTGCTCATCTCAACGTAAAACGACACCCTGTTTGATTCCATTTGAACGCCAACGTTGTGTGTTGCTGTCTCCAGCTGCCTCCGAGGTGGAACGCCAGTGGTCCACCACACTCATCCCCTGCAAAAGGAAATTTTGGAATGCCAGGAAGAATGATCAAAAGGTTTTTTCATAATTTCATGACATGTAGAGCGTTCACACGTGCAAAGTTACACCAGTTTAGCCCCTGAAAACAGCTTACGCCGGAGCAAATTTAACCCACCTCAGGGAGGTGGTTTAAAAATGTGCTCCGGAGCAAATGCTGGTTTGCCGGGGGAGTAGCCTCGCTACGCATGAGAAGAGTTGATTACATACGGCTAGAATGCGTTGCTTTCATGCTGTGTCTCTGAGTTGTTTTTGTAGTTTGTTCCTCTGTTGTGTGTTCACAACAACCCCATAGAATTTATTTTGTGATATCCTCTCTTGATTTTCTGTTTGGCGCATTATATGTTTGCTTTTCTGAGTGTCATTGAAGTCATCGTTGATTTACGTTTTCGGGGGCGGTCATTTGACCGCCTCTCGAGCAGAAGGCACGGAGACCGAGAAGGAGAAGGACGTGCCTGTGCAATAGTTGCTTGAGTTGTGTATGTCTTAAAAAGAACCAACACGGCAGCTCTTTGTTTTCTATCGTTTTGCACCGCTGCAGAAACTGCCGTGTGAACGCAAGTGGGACTGCAATGAAGCAGTTAACACGCTCAGTGGTGTTGTACGTGTGAACGCTCCACAAAATTTGCTGCGGTGTAAAATATATCGCAACAAAATACATCGGTGCAGCACCGGAGCAAATGTGTGCCGTGTGAACACCCCTATCCACTTTCGATGAGGAATTTTATCATCACGATTCCTGCTATTTTCACAAAGAACTGAAGGCTGTAAGATGTAAGAAAGATTCATGGATTTCTCATTAGTTTGTGTGACACCTTTCGACAGAATTTATTGAGAAATGAATTTCACGTTTTAAACAGTGTGTCCAATGTTGTATTGTGGTTCATGTTATAAAGCTTCCGCTATATTATTTTTTTTGTTGTTTTTTGTGGAACCAATTTGTCCAGGAACTCTGCAATTTATCGCGATCATGTTTTCAGTTTTTACACCATATTTACTTCAATACCCTTGCATGTAGGAAAGGAGAGTCAATCCACTTTTTCGTAGTTTATTGAATTGAATATTGGAGAGCAACAAAACACATGAGCACACTCGGGCAAGAGCTGTTGTTGGCCACAGCTCACGGCAAGAGACTCACATAGTCTCAATGACATCACACGCCACCCTCTTACACAGCCTCTTACAGGAACATATCTAACCCACAGACAATACAGTATTTTCTGTGCGGATAATGCTTGTAAGGATTTTTTTTTGTGTTCAAATACTTTTACAAAGTACACTTTCTTCAAATAAACATTTCATTTAGAGCCTCTAATTTAAAAATGGCATTTAACACATACGTGCTTCCTTTTTTTTTTCTGAACATTTTTTTTTAGATCTACCCCGTGAATAAAGAGTCCAAAAAGAACCGTGTAGCTCTGCTCATCACCAATATCAAGTTTAAGGACAGCCATTTTGACAGACATGGAGCCGAGGTAGATGAACGGAACATGGTGAGGCTGTTACGTGCTTTGGGATATGAAGTGGTCCAATACACGAACCTCACTGGAGAGGTAACAAACATCTTTTTTCACGGTTTAAATCTATGTTTTCTGAGTTACTGACCGACCTGCATTGCTTCCGACAGGAAATTGACAAGGCCGTCATCGACTTCTCCAAACATTCCAAACTCAAAGACACAGACAGTGTGTTTGTGGTGATCATGTCTCATGGGAGCCTGGGATCGGTCTTCAGCGTCGATTGTTCTTATTATGCCATTGATAATATTTTCAATCACTTGGGCTCAGCAAATTGCAAAGCTCTGCTGAATAAACCCAAGATCATCATCATCCAAGCCTGCAGAGGAGGTGACCGAACTTGGTGGCGCTCAAATTGAAAACACTTTTGCATATTTGTAATGATGTCACGTGGATGTTGTACACGTCTCTTTTAGTTCATAGAGGGTCCGTGCCCATGAACGATGGCGCAAACGAGGTGGGCTCTGATCATATCCAGGATGCGGGACCGTCCACGTCTGATGATGGACGCATCAAGCATGATGGTGTTCAATTTGTGCACAAAGAAAAAGATTTCATCGCTCTTCTCTCTAGCACCCCTGGTGAGTGTATCTCCTCCCACCCATCATGTACACGTGAGTCAATGAAGCAAACCACAAAAACACCAACCAAGTAATGCAACATGGCCTAATCTATGGTACCAATGTAGAATTTTCACATATCTGTATTTAGGGTGTCCAAATGTCACTATGAATTTCATTTCGGTTTTCTTTTGAAGAGATAAGATAAGATAAGATAAGATAAGAAAACCTTTATTAGTCTCGCAATGGAGAAATTCCCAATTCACAGCAGCAAAGTTATGAAAGGAAGACGTAGAACAACAAAATATAGGAGCTGCTGGAAAGGCAGCCACTCTCGCGGCGCCATCCTGAAGTCAAAATAACAAAAATAACACAACACATAGGACACAGACAGTTGTGCAATCTTCACCACTTTCCTGCATACACTTTGTTGTCTGAAGCAGTTATAGACGAAAGAGGAGAGGATCAAAGATGTGACCACATCAGCATTTTGCAGTTTATGTAAGCAAAAGAGAGCATCAACAAATGCGCAATTTGGCTGTTGCTTCGGAGCCTGAAATTTTACCCATACCGATTTATGGTTGTTCAAAGACTCCAAACCCAAGTTAATGATTCACATCGACTTTGACTGTGAATTGAACTATGTGTTGGAGGAATTTGATGGGCATACAACGTTCTGAACTGGAGCTATACCGAATTAGAGGACAGGAAAAATTACCGGGAGGATATTTTAAAACGCTGTCCAAATGTCATTTGGCGAGCCATGTGCTCGTGAATATGTTTATAAACTCTGCAGCTGTCAAATTCTGATGGCCTCACGCCTGCCCCGATGACACCTGAAACGAAAAAGAAAAAAAAGCAAGTGTATGGTGACTTCTTGGGACACCCTGAGTTTGGGAGAGCCTGGCTTGAGTCAGTTTGATATGCAATCTGATCTACCGGTACTTCCTTTTTTTTTTCTTTTCTTTTTGCCTAACCTCCCTCGCAGACACCGTCTCATACAGACACAAAGTGGATGGCTCTTTCTTCATTCGGTACATTGTTGATGTTGTGAACACCTGCGCATGTGAGGAAGACATTGAGGAACTTTTCAGGATGGTAAGTTGTGCAAATGCTCATCTGAATGTTTAATGACTGCATAGAGGGCAAATTCAAGATGCTCCATGAACACATGTACAAACAGGATGCGTTTGGGCTCCCATAAACAATAATAGTAAAGGGGAAAACTAATTCACATCAAGAAAGTAGTAAATTTACTGAATGTATGTGTGTATGTGTTGATGTTTTTTGTTTTGTTTTTGTTTTTGGGTTACATTGCTAATCTCATCATGTTTTGTTTCAACCACGCAGGTCATGCGTCGCTTCGAAGCATCGCCGCTTGGGATGCCTAAGCAGATGCCAACTAAAGACAGATGCACTTTGTCAAGGCGCTTCTACCTCTTTCCAGGCATTTGACACCGGGGCATCAGGAGGACATCACTGTCATATTGTGACACTTATGAATGCACATTTTAAATGGAAACAGTACATATATTTCCCCTTTTCCATTGTACCAGTTCCACCTTGAAACAGCGTCGTTCTGCCCTGTGTGGTCACTTTTCCGCTACAGTTTTTCAAAGCCGTGCGTTGACAATAACACCGTTCCTCACAACCAATTAAAGTTGTATTTAATTTGGGCCTATTTCGAAGGGTTGTGTATTTAGCACGCCCAAATGTCTGCGCCAGGGCGTCGGAGTCGTCCGGACGGAGGGCTCTTGAATCACATTACCGCAAGACTGCAAACAGGAGGCTAGACTCGGTAAACAGTTAAGAATGAAGTGGTTTAGAACATCAAAAGACTGTCTGGGAACTGGTCGCGGGCCAGGCGACCATTTATCATCTGCGAAGTCTGCGACTTGTTTAATCGTGGGAGACAGTGTTAATGTATCTGTGGTTTAAAGCTTGACAAAAGTTAATCACATCTTTGACCAAGGGGGCCGGACGGGGGGTGTGGTATGCAAATATTGGGGGCAGTGTCTTTCTTGTATTTTGCATATGTAAACTAAAAGACCGACGACGCAAGGGACTTTGAATGTGATCATGGAGCAACTGCCCGCCTTTCGCTTTGAGAGATCCATTCCCGTCGGACTGCACCAACAACCTTCCCTGAGTCGAGTTGTTTTGTTCTAATTTCTCCGGGTATAACTCTGACAACATAGTACACAGACAATGTATTTTACTATAGTTAACCATATTTACAATTTCATTGTACCAAAGTAGACTGCCCAGGCAACAGGACAAGGAGAACACAATGAACATCCAAATATATGAACTGCATAACTGTGATTAGCGTTAACTCGTTTCTAAATGTAACTTTCTAATCATCTAGCTAATGACTAACGCCTACGCTTGGTCGCGTTAAGTTTTGAAATGACAACACTTCAGATTATACAGCCAGCTACGTACTCAATCATTCATTGCTGTTGTGGAGAAGTTTACATCCAAACCGTAACATGTTTGCTTCGAGCCGAGTCTGATCATGTATTTTGTGTCAAGTTTTGGGTTGTGACCAACGGGTGGCACTGTAGGGCTCTCCCTGCAGCTGCACACCTGTTGGTCGTTACGTAATTATTGCTTTAAAAGGTTGCTGTTTGTTTGTTGCTGTGTGGACGTGTCATGTTTTGTTTTCCATCTTGGGTTTTTTTTTTGGGACTTTATTTGAGTTAGCTTCTCCATTGTATTCCTGTTTGTATTTTTGTTAAATGCATTTTGGTCAGCCACCCTGTTACTCCCTGCTACTCAGCTTTTTGGGGTCCTCTGCACTACCATCACGCAAAACGTGACATTTTGGCTAGAACACTGGTGTCAAAAAGACGGCCCGCGGGCCGGAACAGGCCCCCAAGGAGGTTCGATCAGGCCCGCAGGATCATTTAAAAGTGAAAACATGCATAAGACACGGAATATTTTAAATAAGGTGCAATTTGTGGATTATCCGCGAGGGGGCAGACTGTTTTGATCAGAGTAGAAGACAACAGAAGAGAAGAAGACAGAAAGATGGGACAGAACCAACACAGTAGACCCTATCAAGGACATGTAAATACTTTATTCTTTTCACATTTAATAGCACTCTCCTTAGTTTGTGAAGTGTAGGCAGGGATTACATTTAGATTTTATATGCACGTGTAAATATTTTTTAAATTCCTTTCTTTATCAATCTCATTTATTCTTAAAATGTATTACTCTATTTTTCACGACCAATTGTTAAAGTTTTGTGCCTTTGTACAATCAGTGGGACCAGTTGCAATGAATATATGTGAACGATAAAAGTAAAATGCACATTTGTCTAAGGAAATCTAAGGTGCTTCATGAAATGTTTTGTAAAAGACATGTTCATTAAATTTTAACTTTTTCCTCATGTTCCTTAGCTTCTTCAGACCAAAACAAAGGAGAGACATATTATTTTGGTTATTTATAGCAGAGTATGATCTAATTCTAATGGTCCGGCCCATTTGACATCTCCCGAGGCCGTATGTTCTCCAAAATGTGAAATTAGTTTGACACCCCTGGGCTAACAATCTACTAATCAATCATAAATCCATCCAACTATTATCCGATCTGCATATTCACACAAGGGTTGCAGGCGTGCTGGAGCCTATCCCAGACGTCTTCGGGCAGGAAGTCGGGGTACATCTGAACTGGTTCCCAGCCAATCGTAGAAACAAATGGGAACCAGGCGCTCACCAGTGAGCCCGACCTCCAGGCCTAAACAATATTAATCAGAATGCCGTGTTAAGACTTGTGGGGCTGCATAGAACATATTATTGTGAAGACAGTTTTTGGGTTGACTTTCCTTTTAAAATGCCCCTCATAGGAAAAATATTTCCCAACCTTGGGGATACTTGCAGGCTACAGTTGACTCACAGGTCTGTTTACTGTAAATTATATCATGACAGTGGCATGTTATGTGATATTAAATGTAGGAGTTGTTTTTTTTTTTTTCCATACAGTCGCTGAAAAAGATAAACTATTGCCCCTCCTATCTTCAGTGAACCTTGTCACCTTCCGGCACTGCTAACAACTTCACCTTGGCATATATCATGTCCTGTCATGATGTCGCTTTTCTCACTCTGTGTCTCTCTTGTGAACTCTGTCAAGGAACCAAAAGAAACATCATTTCACAATTTGCCCCATATTGTGTCAATCTGGAAAGTGAAATACCTGTAACAGAACAACGTGTGATTTAGTATGTTGCTGAAATAGAACAGATGTTACTGTAGGATAAGGTAGTACCACTTTGTTAGATTTTTCTGCTCTTTGTTTTTTGGTCTGACTTCCTTGTCTCTACCTGAGACCAATAACCCCCCCCCCCCCACACACACACACAAACACACACACAAACACACACATACAATTCAGAGTTCATTGGGCAGTTTCTGAAATGGAGGAGGGGACTTCAAATTGAACATATGAGGAAGGCAGATCCGTTCAGGCTCAAACAGTACAGTAGGTGCAGCTATTGTCATACAAAGAAGGCTTTGCTTACTTATCCACACCAAAAGAAATGATTTTTCTCAAAGAGCGATGGCAGGTAAGACATCTGTGGGACCTTTTGACATAAGAAAAGTTGAACGAGAGTGGTATGCATGCTTCAGGAGGAATGTGCACTTGAGGACAGGAAATAACAGACGACTTTGACGGCAAACCGTGCTCTTCATTCTTCCGTTGTTATCATGAGCCACGCAGGAAAACTACGCTCACAATGCATTGTGATGTACTGTATTGTGATTGTAGTTTTCCCGCAAGGCTCACAATGAAAACGAAAAGAATGAAGTCTCTTGATAATTTTTTTAACACTTTCTGAAATGGTGTACAGTGACAGACAGTCTGTTTGTATATTATGCCCCACAAGACTAATGATTCGCCACCAAGATATATTGCATCAGAATCCTCGACAGTCAGTGACTCCCTAAACTTTACCAGGCCTTCATTGCACTCCCACTTGCTGCTGGTTGTAGGTCTTCACTTTTGTCTTTCAGGAGAAAATCTCATGCTCTTTCAGGTTGTGATCAAGTGGCGGACTTGACATTGAAGAATAATCTGCTTATTTGCTTTCTAAAAATTGCTTTTAGAGGGTGTTTTGTATTTTTCTCAATGTATACTTTCAGTTGACTAGTATTAGCGGAATGTGAGATGAGTATGCCCCATATACACCTCACGATTCATCTTTTTTACTGCAGTCACACCATTTGTAAACATACACATTACACACTACATACCTCTAGTAAAATTTGGATCATTTGGAGTTTTTCCTTCTCTGTACTTTCCTTTTCCTTTGTCATGTTTTTTTTTTTTTACATTTATTTCTGACTTCCACATCTCAATCAACTGGCCACATTCTGGTAATAAGGTAGTGCATACTGTCGCAGTACCTTATTACATACCTTCAAAAAAATGAAAAAGACGGCTTTCATTCACGCAGCGGCTGCAGTGAAAAGATGGTTATATTTACATCTAAGCCACCTGTTTCAAAGTCAAAGCCCGGGGGCCAGATTTGGCCCCCCACATCATTTTATGTGGCCCGCGGGAGCAAATCATGTGTGTCAACTATCATGATTCTTGCTGAAATCTGCACCGAAATGTCAAAGTGTTATGGGTAATAAATAATGAGATTATCCACCGGCCCTCCGAAGGGAGCGGTAACTCCGAAGTGGCCCGCGACAAAAAAAGGAGTTTGACACCCCTGATCTACGCCATCTTATCCGAGCCCGAAGTTGCATCCACAGAGCCCAATTAATGCCTTCATGGCATTAATTAGTAAAGCAAGCCACTTGTGAGAATACAGAACATTTCACACTCTCAGAATATATTATATGCGGCATTATTAAGTAAATAAGATTGGAGTTGGGACGGGGGGGAGGGGGTCATGTTCTAACATGTTTTCCCTATGTTGGTGAGGGTGTGTGTACTCCAGCTTCCAGGGTGTACGTCCCTTTCACCCGCAACCCTAAACAAGAGAAGTGCAGTTGTAAATGGATGGATGGATGTCCATGTGTTTCTTGACCTAACGGTACCTGCATTTTCTTTTCTTTTTTTTTTCTTCCAGAACAACTGAAAAAGAAAACATCAGATTTTGCTGACAATGTATCTGAAGAAGTCCTCAATCAACTTCTGTACCATCTTCTCGAGGATGGCATCTTAAATGATGGCGAGGTACAGCACATAATTCAGGCGAACCAGACCAGAGCAAACAAGGCACGTGACCTCATCCGTACAGTGAGGATGAAAGGTGACGAATCCAGCTGGAGGATGATCAATTGGATTAAAAGCAGAGACCCTAAACTTGCAGAGCGTCTGGGTCTGAACTTGATTGAACCGATGGACATGAGATAAGGAGTGAGTTTTTTCATTCTTTTGAATCGTGCATGATACTCAGAAATACTCGAGGTGTACACCATAACCTGTTGCAGTTATACTTTCTGAATGCTTCTTTTCTGATTTCAGACAAAATCCTGGCATCAATTGTAATCTCCAAGTCACT